TGGCTTGGGCCACGGGTGTGGGCACGTGGCAGGCGAGGTGGCGGGTCTGACACAGGCCCGTAACATTATTCATTCCTGTCGGGATGAAAACACAGTTTATGTATTTTTAAATAATAAGTTAAACGAAATGTGAAATTAACTTATTTAATTTCACACCTATCATTTAATGTCACATTAATGCCATGTAGACAGTCACTTAATTTCACCTATCGGGGTGGTTTCATTCGTCACTCCGGACAAGAGCCTGCTGAGCTCTTCCTTTATATTCCATGATAAATTCTTACATGTAGATCCCGCTCGAACCGCAGTTGAAACGGGACTCAACGTTTTTTTATCAAGATACAGACAGACTTGAAAAAGGGATTATAGGAATAAGGTGTTGGGATGGTGGAATTCAGTGTCGTCTTCTTCAAAGCTTGTATATTTTGTTGCAGTGCCATTGATTTTGGCTTCTGGGTTTGTTGTTAAACTCAACCAAGTGCCCTCTAACCGCTTCTGGTCCTCTTCTACAAGTCATTCACGGCCTCCTTCCGCCGCCGGCGATGCTTCTATTACATTTGGAAATGTTTCTGTTTCTCCACAATTTTCGCTGCCGGCAGCAGGCCATGCCTTAGAAGCTCAACAACCGGTAAGGCCTTCATTAACTCTTCGCACAATTGCCCACGCAACCTTGCTTTTTGGTTATTGAAGTACGCCCTGAAAAATTTCAACAGTCAATAGGCGATGTATAAATCTTCATTTGACATTCATGCTGAATTCAATTCAAATTGCATACAATTTTTGCAAATCATACTACCACAGTGAATCGTCTCATCGAATTTTATTCTGAAAATTTTATTAATTTATTTAAATTTACATGTCTAATAATACATAATTGCACATATTGAATCTTTGTCAATGACTCAATTATTATGAGTTGATTTGACAAACATTTTTGCTTTAACTGTTTTATGGTTTGCTATGGTCTTTTATATTGAAAATTGTAGAAATAATGTATGAAATTACTTGAAATCACTTATCATTTTTATAACCATATAAAAAATCAGTTATACAAGGCACAAACGAAATCCTCTCAAAAGCTCAAGATCAACTCGTAAATACGGGAAAAAAATGATAAGCTATTAAACACAACCGGTAAAATCTGGATCAAAAATTATTTCTTAAGAAAATTTATACAACAATACATGTTAAAAAATACATGTAGGATTTATAATCCGATTATCTTTAGTAATCCTTGAGAATCTTTATTTTTTATGGCCAATCACTCTGAAAACAATGAGAAATTTAAGTTTTTATGAAATATTGAACTAAAAACATATTTTTTTCCTATTGGCGTTGCATTAAGCTAAGAATTTGTAAAATATTTACAAAATTATTTTGATTTTGATTACCCATTAGGATTTGTTGCAAAGGAAAGAAGAAAAAGCGAATGAAAAATTGAATTTTGATATGAGATAATTTTAAAGTCTAGTGTTTAAAGATCTGGTGCAGCAAAAAGAGAAATGCAGGATAACCGAATTTACTATTGTTTCTCAAGAGAGTACCGAGATGCATGGTCCCAAAATCGAAACATTTAGTAGATGAATCAAAGCTGAACTGGCAGGTTGTATCCGGTTCCGGTCCAATTCCACTGGTTTCGAGAAAAAATGTCCACCCCTAACTGTTAGTTACCAAAAGATCAGGTTAAGTATTCTAAGTATGCTTGTTAGTGTTCCTCTTAATTTGGATTTGTAATTTTGTAACTTTTGCACCTCGGTGTCCAACTTTTGATTGGGGGTAACAAAAATAAAGAATGAGAAGAGGCTCTATGTGCTGGAAAACTGGTTAGCTGAATTCCGTCTTCAAATTTTAAACTTCTCTAGTTTCTTTCCGAAACCAAATATTCATGTACATTGCTGTCCCAGTATGTTCAGATTCCAGCAGCGCTAGTATACAAGTACTGCAGAATTAGTTTAGCATTGTTAGTATCTATATGTCTTGAAAATAAGAAGACTCCGGTTATGCCACAGGGAGGGAGAGTTTTATGGGCCTCGAGCATTACCTTAAAGATGCATGTTTTGTTCTTCTATGATGATAATGTTATGTTTTGAAATCATCTAGGTTATCGAGAACGAAGAGAGCGTGACATCTACTGGATTATGGAAAAAGTACAGTAATTTAGAGAGAATTGAAGCTGGTCTTGCGCGAGCTCGAGCGATGATAAGAGTAGCTCGAAATAAAAATGAATCATTAGATGACCCTGATTATGTCCCCCGAGGTCCACTGTATTTGAATGCCAATGTCTTCACAGGTATTATAAATCTGCTAACTGTTCTTCAATGTCGATAAATATAATTCTGCATATGGCATTGAAAGCTTTAGTCAAATGATCGGAAATTAAGCTGAAGTTGCGTCAATGAAAATTCTTTGAGATTGTGTTGTTTTATTTTGAGTTTGGTTGCAGAATTAATGATTGATTCGATTAATCTATGCTGTTTAAAAAGCATTACATATAAATTGCTGTTTTTCTTGCATATAACGAGTTTAGTCACGTTTAGAAATTGCAAGACGCCATTAGATGATGAATTGGTGATGAATTCCATTTTAATGCAAAAGAACATGAGAAGAATTCATAAAGCAAATCCATTTGTTATTGCAGGAGCTACATGGAAATGGAAAAACGGTTTAAGATCTATAACTATGAGGAAGGAGAACCCCCTGTTTTTCATTACAGTTCCATGCAGGGCATTCTAGGAATGGAGGGTATTCTCATTCATCATATTGAAATCAGCAAATTCCGTACCAAAGATCCTGAAAGAGCCCATGTTTATTTCCTTCCATTCAGTGTACTGTCAATAGTCAGCGATGTTTATGTAGTTGACTCCCACTTATGGGGTCCTATGCAAAATACTGCCAGATATTATGTCAATCTCATCGCTCAAAAGTATCCTTATTGGAATCTAAGCCTTGGACACGATCACTTCATGCTTGCTTGCCATGATTGGGTGAGGCATTCTTGTGTTGCTTTAGTCATAAACGAAATTGAGCCTATCTGATCAGAGATGCACCAAAGGGGTGTATGAAAGTGAATTACGTGATGGCGTTCATTATAATACTTATTTTCCCTTGCTAATAAAAAGTATTTGTATTCTAACTCAAATTTGACATCGTTGACAGGGTCCGAAAATTTCTTCTGATGTTCAATATCTACTCAAAAACTCCATTAGAGTACTATGTAATGCAAATACCTCCGAAAAACTCAACCCCATTAAAGATGTGTCTATGCCTGAAATATATCTCCCTCAAGGTACTATGGACGGGTTGATTGGTGGACCGTCTCCATCTAAGCGCTCTATTTTAGTTTTCTATGCTGGAGGTATTCATGGCTACATTAGGCAAGTGCTAATGGAGCACTGGAAGAATAACGATTCAGAGGTCCAGATACACGAGTACCTTCCAAAGAACATGTCCTACTATGGCATGGTTCGGAAAAGCAAGTATTGCATTTGCCCTAGCAGGTGGGAAGTAGCCAGCCCGAGAATGGTAGAGGCTCTCTATATGGGGTGTGTTCCGGTACTCATCAAGGACCATTATGCTAAACCATTCGGTGATGTTTTGAATTGGAGTACGTTCTCAGTCGATGTTGCAGTGAAAGATATCCCAAACTTGAAAACAATTTTGATGTCTATACCTCAAAGACACTACCTAAAGATGCAGGTTAATTTCCCTCCCAAACGGTACGATGTTTTCCACATGATTCTTCATTCAATCTGGCTTAGAAGACTAAATATTCAAGTTCATGATATAAATGAAACATGAGTGCTCAATCAAATAGTATTAAAGAAATTATACTGTATATAAATGTTTTATACTGTCCAAAAAGTATCAAATTTGTTACTCCTAGCCTCAGAGGGGTGGAGACTCAATAAGAAAGTCAAAAGGAAAACTCAGTAGGTCAAACACACCAATAAGACAAATAGGCCGAAGTCCTCACACAATGCCGAAGTTCTCACACAGCGTGATGAAGTCTAGTCTGAGGCACTTCTTCAAAGACGAAGATCAAATCCATCCAAGGCTCTCCCCAACTCGTCTAAAGCTCATTGAGTCGACGCTGTTTCTTGTAATAGATTTAAGGATCTATTAGAAGTGAGTGATGTAACACTTGTAATAAAGTTGTCAGTGTGTTAGACTATTGTAATGAATAGACTGATGTGAAGCCTTAGTTAGGAAGATGAGCTCACATGGTTCCGATCCAACGGTCACCACATCAGCCAAGGCAGTATAAATATGTCTTCTCTGTAATGAGAAAAGGGATGGAAAAAATAGAAATCGAGAGGATCATATATTCTGAATATACATTTGAACTTAGAAAAAAATGAAATATTTTTACACTTCATCTATCTTTTCACATATTTCTACTTTGTTATTACATAAATTAGTTTGGTTTCCAGCCGGCAATCGTTGTTAGTACGATTGCGTTTGTTCTATCCATCGGAATTTGAACATTTTTGTCTCTCGTCCTAAAGTACCTCCCGCGTCCATTTCCGTATAGCTATTGTTATCATTCCGGTAGGACACGCCGGAATCATGTTTGACTGGACAAGAGTGGATCCGACATTTGTTGATTCATTTTTTGGGTAAACAAAATTCAATCCTTACTTTAAACTTGAAGTGATTGGTAGTGTATTGGGATTTGATTAATGCGAGTTATTAAATTCCACAGAAAACGAAACCTCGTAAATGCCAATGCTTCATTAACCCGCATTCATTCTTTCATTCTCGTCGACAAAACTAAGAATTTGTACTGGCATCTTATGCAAATTTGCTTGATGTTTACGCCAATTTGCTTGTCCTAAAAGGTAGACTTCACGCTGAGCTGGGATCTCAATAAAGTTAAAATACTAGATTAATTACATGCATGCAATTAAAGGACAATAAGTCTATTTGTGTGAGAGGTTGTCAACCTCTTATGTGCAAATAATATGGCTCATTAAAGGTATATACATATTACAGTGGAGGTAGTAACCACCGAAAATAAATTGAAGGAAGAACGGGTATGGTGATTGGGAGAGTAAGGCAATTTTATTAGAAAACAATCACATAATTGATCTCAATTTTTTAAGAATAAGATTAGTCGTACGTTGTCATGGATTGTATGTATTGCATACTTGCAATATATGCATTATTGAGGACGGACTCTAAGAATTTTGAGGCCCTGGACAATAATTTTTTATGAGGCCTTAAAATTAATTTTTTACAAGTGTAGAAAAATAAAATATTATATTTTAAACGTAGACATTGTAGCATAATATTTAGCAAAAATTATCCCCTTGGTGGAGAAAATATTATTGGTGTAAATAATAATTTTCAAGAATTATTAATTGAGAAAACTCGAGTAAGGTGTAATTTAGCGAATTCTAGAAAGTTTAAGAACTAAAGTGAAGATCATGAGAAAATTTTATGAACCATAATTTGAACTCCTGGGAATATTTAAGGGATGACATTTTTTATTTTTTACGGTTTAAGATGGAATTTTTAAATGCAAGCGTGAAATTTAGGGACTAGATTACAAATAGTGAGAAAGATGTAATTTTAGACGATAAGGTGACTGACTAGTTAAGATTATTTAGTAGTGAGAAAGATCACCAGATTCTAAAGATTTTGATTTGGGGAAACTTTGATAATTTTGAGATCTTGAGGGAATAGATTGAAAATAAGCTTTGACGTCAATAATGTATTTGCACCTAATGTGTATTTATTGGAGGATTGGGAATTGCACTATCAGTATTGGGTTCATTTCGAAACAATCAAGAAAAAAAATTAATTTGAACAAATCAAATTCGAGTTATAACCTAATAAAGTAAATTACTTGGATAATATTAATTTTCAAATTAGATTATATTATAGTAGCAATATTAGACTCGTTTGATAGCTTATAATTAATTGTATATATTAAGATCGAGAAAAAAATATTTTGGATAAGTTCGAACTAAATTAGAATTAACCAAATAAAATTATAGTTAAATGAAACTTTAAGCAATTAATCCATCGATTTAGTAATTTAATTGGGTCGTATTTTTTCTTTGGAAAGATTTCATAATTAAGAGGTTTAGTTTTACCAATTTCAAATTTAAGAGATTATGTTTAAAATTTCAAATCTCAGAGTTTTTAAAATTTTATTTATAAATAAATAAATTAAACATATATTTTATTAATTAAATATATTAACGTCACAAATTTCATATAATTGGTCACACATTATTAATTGGTCAAAAATCACAATTTCAATGTCACAAATTATTTTACGGTCACAATTCAAAAATTTTATTGGTCACAATTTGTCGTCGGTCACAAATCAAAAATTTATACGTCACAATTTCAAATCTATCAAATTAATAAGTCATATATTATTCATTGGTCACAAATTACAAATTTTATACGTCACAAATTTTTTTTACGGCCACAATTCAAAAATTTCATAGGATCATCGCTCACAAATAAAAAATAGAAACATCACAATTTATTTATAGGTCGCAAATCACAAATATTATAAGTCACAACTTGATGAACAGTCACAAATTTTCAAATTATCGATCACAAATTAACAGTTTTTTAAGTCACGCATTTTTTTGTTACAATTTATCTTTTTCGTTCAAATTATCGATCACAAATTAATAGTTTTTTAAGTCACGCGTTTTTTTTTGTTACAATTTATCTTTTTCATTGGTCACATATTGTTTATCAATCATGGATTAACCAATTTTGTAGTTACAATCAACCAATAATTTGTGACCACAACCTACACTTGGTGACCATTACCGCACCACTCCCTCAAGCAGCACCATGGACACTATCGTCGCCAGAACCACCACCACCACCTCGCGACAGCAACATCACCACATTAAACAAATCAACACATCGCGAAAAACACCACCACGTCATCGCATTGATCCATCACCACCAACATCTCAACACCACTACAATCACCAAGATCCACCACGTCCGCCACCAAAAAAACAACAACCACCATTACATTCAACATAATCTTCGCCTCCAGCACAGACACAGTCACCGTCACCCAAACACCACCACCACAACCTACCAGATCCAATCACAACCAAACATCACCAAAACCACCGCCACTAGAACAAGCACCACAACCACACATCACCACCATCTCAACAGATCCAATCGATTGAGAGCACTGTTGCACTATCCAAAATGGGAAATCATTAGTCTAGCCTTGTTGTGGGCGAGAGAAGGCGGTGTGTTCAAGAAGAGATTGACAATAAGTTTAAATACACTACCTCAATACATCGAAAATCTCCGGCACGACGGCTGCGATGGAGGTCTGCTCATTTATGGCGAGCGTGAGCTCTCCTTCGACGCCATTTCGCTTATCCGCGTGAAAATGCATCGTCCTTCTTCATTGCACTTTAAGGGCCAGTGGAGAGTGGAAGAGAGAGCAACGAAAAGTGGAGAAAAGGAAGAGAGAGTGATGGAAAGAAGAGAGGGAAAATTGGAATGAAATTTATTTAGGGTTTGGATGAAAATTGTACAATTAATATTTAATATTTAAAAATAAAATATTTCATTTTTGAAAAGTGAAATTTTCAATCTGATTATTGAAATTGAATCTTTAAAATTTTGATTTTGTGAGGTTTCCACTTTTCGTGGCCTTTTAACTTTTGAGCCTTAGGCCATTGCCTAGTTGGCCTGGACGTAGGACCGGCCCCAATTATTCAAGCAGCCCCGTGCTGCTCACTGACATTGAGCAATTTCTTTTACAATGCAACACCAACATTATTTGATATATTGATGAACAAGTATAAAATCTCTTGTTTCTCGCAATTTCTAAACTTATCAAGGGAAATTTAATTATCGAACTTATTATTTTATGGGACATGTCTTTAGAAATCTGGGTGCAAGAAATTTATATTTATTTCTTTAAAAAAGATATACGATCTTGAACCACATTGCACGATCCAAGCTTGAGCCCAATGTTATCTAATACTAGTGGTAATATCTATATTTTATAGGTTCAATTAAATGAGTCAAGTGACTTTACATTTAAATTAATATATCATTTAATGTCATGTAATTGTCACCGAACCTGATATTTGACACGAATGATGATGAATAACATTCTTAATTCACGTCTAGTTTTTGGTTTGAACCATTAGGATACAAGTCCTTCACCTATTCCAGAAATTTTAGTGCCCCTTCAAATCCAAACCCAATCAGCTTCTTTTCTTCCAAGGTGGGATTGGAAATTTGAAACCTTTTGGTAATTTTTAATCAATTTTTTTTTTAAATTTCAATATGTTCACTTATAACTTTGATTTTTCATTCATGTGAAAATAATTTTGAGCAACTAAATACGTTTCATCATCCAGAAGAATAAAGTGAGATGCTTGGTTAAATCGTGGAGAAATAGATGAGATATACTTTAGGAAGATTGGAGAACAATCTTCGAATTTTTGTGTTATGTAAATTTTCAAATAATAATTATTTTAATTCCTCTGTTTTATTTCACATTTCAAAATATTTTTATATCCCAAATAAGGTTTAATTTCTCTTCAAAATACTAATTATAATAAATCAAACCTTAACCATATACTCCCGGAACTAAGGGGTACTAAAAATTGAGAAGTTAGACGTTTAGAGACCGTGCTACCAATAGAAACAGTTAAAGGACCAACTTGCTATAACACTATTAGTTTAAGGGCTAACTTGCTACCGTAATAATAAATTGGTGATCAATTTGCTATAGTACTAATAGAACAAGGAAAAAACGTGTAATTTCCTTTCCCAAATCC